TAATTTTTTTCTCTGTTTTTTTTTACATTTTTTTTTTATATCTTGTTTTTATTTATGTTTAAAGTAGAGGGGTCACTTCAGCTATTGCTATGTAGACCTAAACCTCCACTACTGTCAATGCACCAGTAGCAGAAAGAAAAACCTTTACGCCTAAGTGTGTAGGTAGGAAAAGCTTACCTGTATAGTAACCCGCGGTGCACACTGCCAGAAAACCACATACAAGAAACTAAAACCAAGGAAATCCTCCATACTAACAGATGACACTTCTCAAAATCCATGAAAAAAATTGCCAAATAAATAAAACTCAATATAAAGACCTCAGTCCAAAACTACATAGACTAAGTGACTGGATTTACATAGTTTCAGAAATGCAATAGCCAATCCCAAGCACTAGTTGGAGAAATATGTCTATAGATATATAGTTGGCAGTTGGGCTAAGGGAAAGCCAGAAAGTAAGAAGAAAACTGGTTCCCAGATAAGCAGGTAACCACGAGTCAGTGCAAAGGAACTCTGGCCATCCTCTAAGTGTGGCTTGAATTATTGGTACAAGGCCCTACAGAGAGAAATGAAGGGAAGTAGGATGCTAGACAGCAGTAATGTACAAGCCAGAGGGCAAAGATCATATTTGGCAGTTAAATGGGTACTAGCCAGGAGGGAGGAGTAGGGTGGTAGTAAGATACAAGCTGATTGTACTAAGGAGATAAGAGAGGAGTGATAGACCCAAATACTGAAACAACTGTTGAGAATGGGTTTGTGTCTTAACTCAATGGGGTACTTGGGTTCCTAATACTCCTAGGTGTATTCATGCATCTTTCCAGTGGTCTCTTGGTCTGGAAAAGATAACATCACTTAGCCAGTAGGATACCACCACCTGTAGGAAGCAGAGAGGAGGAGGGCGGTAAAATCGACAGTAGCCTATTGGGGAGACCAAATCATCTGTAAGGAGATGCAGGAGGAAGCAAGAAGGAAAATTCTTGCAAGAAATCTCGGCCCGAAGCAACAAATAAAACTAACTCAATACCGACAAGAAAAGCCCATAGCAGTCCTGATCACCTAAGAGCTAATCCATCAAGTAACCCCTAGTGGAACAGGTATACCGGAAATTGGCAGTCCTCCTACATAGGTAGCAGGAGGTAGAGAACGATTCTGCCTAGCATGAGATACTGCAATACTAACGAGTGAAGGGAGCCAAGGCTAGGGCCCTAGGGAGCTGAAGAGTGAGACATAGTGACTCAGACAGTTTTGCTTCAAAAGGATAAGTGTAATAGTAAGGTACCACCTAAGAAGAGGAGCAGTAGGGTTTTAGCCAATTGCAAGATAAGAGGCAGTAGAGTATCAGCCAATTGAGTCATGGTAAGAAGAGAGAAGGGGTAGACCTAAATGGTGAAACAACTATAGGAAACGTGTTTGTATCATAACTAGGTTACCTTCTTCAGTACCCAATACCCCCAAATGTATTCCAGTATCTACCATATAGTCCCTTATCCTTCCAGAGATGACATTACTTAGTCGATAGAATACTACCCTCTGTAGAGTGTAGCCACAAGGTAGGAGCCGAAATTGACCACCACCAGTTAAAGTAACCAGACCAATGACTAAGAGAAGCAGGAGGAATTTATTGAAATTGGATACCATGAATCTTATTTCCAGCTGACTATTGTAAGGAACATGTGAAGATCTTTCCATACTAATAATAAGCATAGCTAGAGCAAAAACAGGAAAGAAATAAAAATTAATATCAAGAGATATTGGGAGAAGAAGCAGGACCTCAAGGAGGTAGACTTCAAAAGAGAAGAATTGAGAAGTGTCCCCAAGGAATAGGAAGATAAGAAGTAATGGCTTGATCCCACCTCTAGGCACAAGAAGTTATGAGAAAGTTCTGGTATTGAGGTCTTCCCAATTAGGAAATAAATTTCAACTATGCAAGGTATAGCAGAGTTGGTTGATAGCAGTGATTTGGAGCAACTGGTAGCATATGAAGTGTACTTAAATATTTGTGAGTTTCCCTCTACTCTGGTAATCAACTACCTCTCATAAATTTGAACTTAATTGGACAAAGGTGTAGCTTAATAAGATTAAGTTTTACTGTTTTGTTTTATCCACTCTACTGTTGATTTGTCTTATTCTTTACTTTCAGAAAGAATACTTGAGTGTGGTCACAACCTTGAGATCCTTCTTCCTATAGTGAGTTCCTGTTACATGGAGAGTTACTCATACTTGTCTCAAAGTCATTATAATTGGTGTTCAATATTTACTTTCTTCCAATGCTATTTCAACTTTTTTGGTTCTACTGAACATTTTTGCATGATTTTTCAAATACAATATTTAATCCTGAGATAGTAATAGTAGTTAGTGGAAGCAGGAAAAGGATGAACTAGAAATGTGATAATGATTAAAAGGCATTTGGAAAGAAGCACTTGGAGTCTAGAGGCACTGGGAGTAGTAAAGTACAGGTAGCGTATACTAGATGAAAAGGAGTCATGTAATGTGAGTGGAAACATACCTAGTATATGAGAAATAAGATGGCCACATGGTGATCCAATATGTGAGTGTGGATCTGTTCAGACTGGCAGTTTATATTAAGAGCATCTGGAGCATTCGATGCACAGGACACACTGGATGCAAGTGGTATTTCTGCTGATGAAGAGTAGCTGCTAGATTGAGTGCAAAGGAATGGTAGACAAAGTATTGATCTTTTTGTTCTGTAATTTTATATTAAGTTTCTGTTATATTGTAACGATCCCTTTCTGGATAGTTAGTTCTTGGCAATGGGGAACGATACTTCTTTTTCTGTCTTCTTCTTTCTTTGTCTTATGATAGCCCTAGGCCTCTGCCTACATTACTAATAGTACAAGACCTTTGTCTTCTAGTGGGAACGCCTATCGTAAGCTTTCTCTAACTTGTCTTTGTGAAGGACTTTTCTTGGCGTAACAATAACGGTGCAATAAAGATAAAGATCATAAAGATGTTTTATATTCGTTAAAGTAATATGTAGGAAAAGTACTTTGAACAAAGTGTGAAGAACCTATATTCCTCAGCCGCCTTGGCCTCCTTATATAGTATTCTTCCCGCCCCTAGCCATGTGACCTAAAGTGGTCACATGTGCAACACCAAATCATAACAAACTAGTCATGTGACCAAAGTGATCACATGCTCAAAACCCATAAACTCGTAACGAGGCTATGTGCAAAAATTCATAAACCAATCATAACACAATAAACAAGTCATATGACTCGACTGAGTCATATGCATGAAACCCATGACCTCATAACGAGGTCATGTGCATAACATAAATCATCTGCGCAAGGCTTACCCGCAAGGCACACTCGCAAGGCATATTCGCCAGGCGCACATCCCATGACTCATACTTGAGCCATGTGCGAAAGCATCACAAATCCCACACATAACAAATCCTATAACCCGAATGGGTCATATGCGTAAAACAATAACATACCTGTGACTCATAACCATATGTCACGTGAAAACCTTTTCCATGCCAAGTCACGTTCATGACATATATTTATTTATTATCTATTAGTTTCATCACTATCAGAATTTTTGTAGTTGGATAGGTGGAAATTTTATATTGATTAGGGTGCTATTGTTGATGCCATCCACAAAAAAAACACAATTTGTCCTGGTCTTTTAAAAATGTAGTTACAGAAGTTCAACTAGTTATAACATTCAATTGTGCCATTCTTATTAAAGCTTATAGTTTGAAGTCGTTCTCTTATGGTCTGAGTCAACATAAATATTTTAATCATATTATAAATAATTTTACTCTGGCCCATGGGCCTCGTGGGCCGGGTCGGGCTTTCATGGGCCAGGCCTACTAGTTGGTAGGCCGTGCCAGGCTTTCGTGCGCTAGGCCCAGCCCAATCTATGGTAAGTGTTGAAAGTACTTTTTTTCCTTATATCATATTTTATATACAGCCTTCATGTCCAGTTAGAGTTGAACAAATATTTTGTTGCTTGAACATACTTGTAAAATATTAATTGCCAGTTTCCTGTAAATAGAGGAGATAGAAGTCCATAGTAACTTCTATAATACTATAAGTATTACTTTTATCCTAGATTTTTATGATCATGGAATTATTATTATAGTACTGAACAAAAATATTATGTTAGTGGATTATATTATCAGTAGATTATATCATCAAATAATATTATTTCAATCATGTTATAATTAGTTAGCACCTATTTTATAGTATTATATATATTTTTACTTTACCGATATCATACTCCTACCCATTTATCTCAGTTTAAAATGGGGCTGAGCTAGAATTACGCATGACCGGAGAGCAAGCTAGAGGGAAAGAAAGCAAGCGTGAAATGGTCATCTATCCCATACTGCGTTATTCCACGTATAACTTACCCCTACCAGAGCGCAAGAAAAAGAGCATGGAACAATGTACAAGAGAGTCGTAAAACGCTAAATAAAGCCCCCGGATGATAAAGATAACACAAGATAAGAATGAGATGATAAGCCTCTATGGAAAGAACACCTTAATACATTCTCCAAACAGGCACAGAGGCAAGCAGGCTAGAAATGTAAAAGATGGAAGAAAGTAGAGTAAAGGAGGTGAATCAACATAAAAACCATCTCTTATTCTTCTCGTTTTGGCCTCGCCTTTGGGCAACTTGACCCAGTGAGTTCTTGATCGCCTCCTTGTTCAGTTGTGGGAAATGTTTTTTGAGGTGTTCGATCATGGCAGCTTTGGTCAAGTCACTACCTTCAATCGCTTGTTTGAAGGCCACCATCTCTTCGGCCGGGATTAGTTGCATGGACTTGACTTTCTTTGAGCACTCTCCAGTGGTTGCTTGAGCAGTACCAGCAGTCGATCCGGGGGGCGGCATTGTTGATTGAGGTTTACTATTTCCTGTTGTTTGAAAGAACTGTCTCATACCCTTAGGTGTATTATGAACGACTTGCGCCGGCAGCAGCTGTGAAGGTGCTCCAGGACTCCAGTAGCTTGTCGAAAATGGATCAATAGGCCCTGTTATCCCATCTGAAGCCATATATAAGTGACAAGACATGGAAACTGAAGAATTGTGGAATCAAAATATATACCTATTAGGATACCAAGACTCATTTCCCTCAACTCCTTTCTCGGGTTTCTCCCCATAAAGTCTTCCCAGCACAGGCCAGAACAGAGAGGAACAAGGGCAGATACCGCCGCACGACGATTCTTAATCGCGCCCTCCTCCTCATCATCATCTAGGAATTCATCTAAATCCTCGTCGCCACTATCGCCATCCTCTTCATCCTCCTCGTCGCTCAAGAGTTCCTCGCCATCTCCATCCAATCCTTCTTGCTCCCATTCGGCCTCAGAATCATATTCGTAATCGACTTTAGGCAGTGACTTTTGAAAGGGGTTACGACCACGTAACAAACCAGAAGAGGCAGGTCTTTTAGTATAGGTTCCAGAGTAAGGAGGCCGAACATCCTCCGCAAACCGCAGGAACTTATGAGGCAGTGAATTGAGCAAGTTAAGATAAACACCATCAGGTGCATTAATTCTGGCAAGGATATCCTTTGTAGAATAATTGGGAGGCTTTCCGCGGCGACCACGCTTGTGATGGGGAATATGCATTAGCTCTTCTATCCGTCCGACTGTAAGCCTTTCACCAATCTCCACGGGTGGAGACTGGCCAGAGGGAGATTCAGGATCTCGGATAGAGAGCGGGTCTTGAGAGAGAGGGGGAGAGAGAGCGTTGTCAAGTGCAACCTTGATAACAAGTTTGTAACTATGATCACGCTCAAACGGTACAGGAGCGACAGTAACATTTGGCTTCACGAAAAATGGCTGAAAACTACGTTCATAATCCGTCCGCACTTGTCTCTTTAGACTAATGTCAGGTGGAGGCGGGCTACCAACCACCATCTGCATTGAAGTGCTGGCAGTTGAAGGCGCAATGGACTGAGGGGTAGGCCCGGCGACAGGTTTGGTGAAAAACGAGACGAGACGCATTTGGGCCTAGTTGAGAAAATTAATAAGTATATCCATTCACGCCCTTGAAGTATCTCTGGAAAGCCACTACCTTCTCTTTCTTAGCTTTCTCATCTTCCCTTTTCTTCTTCTCCTCATCCTTAATACGTCTCTTCTCATCCCGTTCAGCTTTCTACAACGATCAGGTATTAGTCGGTATCCTTCAGGAGTGAGGTGTGATGCAGCACAAACTTTAGCAAGCCTTTCTTTTTCCTTGGTAACTCTCTCCTTCTCCCTCTCGAGTCTCTCTTTCTCTCTAGCTTCTTTCTCAGCCTCGGTCAACTTTGTCCTCTTCTTGGCTGGCCCGACTGCGCCGGTACCAAGACCCATGGCATTCCCATCACCACCACCATCACCATCACCATCACCGCTAGCTAGTTTACTACCACCCTCTGTTCTTGTTGAATCGCTGCCCATATCTGAAAGTGATCTCTTTTTAACAGAGTCTGGGGTACCGGGATTGGTAGAAGCATGCGGCAAAGAGTCTGGAGGCGTCGGAGTTGAAGCTGGTGCCGGATTAGACATTGGGAGAGTGGGTGTAGCGGTCGAGTCGCTTATAGCGAATTGAAGTTTGGTTGTTTTCCTGTAATGGAGGTTTCGAGTGGCAGAGGTCACTAAGGGATGGAGTAATCAAGAGGTGGGAAACGTGTTTTCGTGCGCAAGATGTGGAGGGGACGCGTCGGAACGCGCCAAGAGGTTAATTGGTTAACAGGTTACTACCGGTATCGTCGTTCATCGAAGGGCTCAAGCTACTATTGGTTGCTTCACAGCTGAGGGGTTGGGCTTGAGACTAGTGCCGGTAGGGGTACCCTATCTGCCCCACCGTACGGCTGGCTGTGGTGCTCGTGTGTGTATCGGAAAAATTTCTCAGGTCGACAAAGTAAACCATTGATATTATTTGAGCCTCAAGACCAGCTCCAGGAGTTTAATATAATAACGATGGTAAAGGTATAGTATCTTCAACATGCACGAGCAGTCCAACGGGATGATATCAAGAAACCGCGCCAAAAAGAAAAGAAATGGAAAGAAATGAAAAAATAATGAGAAATAAGAAAGAGGGGGTACACCACTCCAAGGTTTCAGCACCATACAGGATGTATATATTGTATAGTGCTCAATCCCTGCACCCGGGGAAAAAACGGAGACATTGGCAAGACAAAACACCCAAACCGCTATGAACGAATGCAAAACTCAAATACCCAAGAACACCACAAAGGACAGGCAAAACATGAGACGGTGGGGGAAGGGTAACTACAGGATCGATAATATTTAGTACAAAGGGAGGCCCAAAGAAACGATTGAAGGAAATACTCAATGTGACCTCAGCGGATACATGATGAAACCAAGAACTTTTTGTCAATGAATAGAAGCCAATCCGGGTGAACGATACCCCCTCAAAAAAATTTTTTAGGGGGGTGTAGAGCGAAAGAGAGAATGAAGAGGGCGAAATAATGTATACAGTCATCAGGCCTTATTCTATGTGCAAATCAATTGCCACGACCCCCGATCGGGCGCTCGAGAGAATAAAATGGCTATTCGACATCTGGATTCGCAACGAACAACCGGTTTCCGCTAAGGGTCATAGTTCTGACGACCTCCTGCTCGTCCAAGCTTCCCCTCCTTCTTAGAGTATTGTCGCGCCTTAGTATAGTAGAGCTTTGGAGAGTAGGTGTGTAATAAGCTCTTGGCGAGGTAGACCCGGAAGGGCTTTCGGGCAGCTTTTCGCTCTTATGCTTTGTTTTTGTTGTGGTACTAGGAGTTCCTTCTTCTGTTATTGATGACCTGGACGAGTAACTTGGTGTACTTCCTCTGGAATTGCGATGTTGTAAGCCCCCGGGCGCGCCGCCGTACATTGTGTAGTTTCGATTGGTGTCAGACATCATTGAGGAAGAGCGATTTATGCGTCTATGATTCGAGTTGAGCGAGGACTTCCCAGAACCAGAGCGTTTGCGAATCCCCGCACCTCTGGGGTAGAGGTCATCTTCATCGTCGTCACCAAGAACCTCCGTAGCCGACAATCGAGTAGGCACCCCACTGGGTAAGCTCCCACCTCCGATACCAGGGCTAGATGAACTGACCCAAGTCTTCCCCAATTTTCCAGTTCGGCCGCCTGATATAGAGGATGCTGCTGACCCTGCTGCGGAGCCGATTCCGTGGTGATTATGCCCTGCGCTGAGGAATGCAGAGTTTGACGAACCGACAACTTCCATGGCTGCGCGAAGTTTCGCATATCGTTGATCGGCTAACAAACGGGGGTCTTCACGCTGTGACCTATCGCACCAAACCGTTGCTTTCTGCCTCCTGAGGGTAGCCACGTAGGCGCTCTGAGCCGATGTCGAAGCGGAGTTTGTTGTATGAGTACTCCCAGATCGTCTAATGGTGATGGGTACGGTGGGATCCATGGCTCCACCCCTCGAGTTGCTAGCGACCGAAGGTCGGCGGTTCATATGCGGGTTTTGGGGGTAGTTGTGGTTGTAATTATGATTGTAATTTTGCGTATAGGTCTGCATCCATTGTGTTCCCTGCATTGGTAAAGTGCCCGACGAGGAGGTACGACAACGAACGTGCGAAGACGGCGAGGTAGCGGACTGGAGATCGTAAGAGCTTTGAGAGGAGTGGTTAGGGCTGATCCTAAGACTATTCTTTGTTGGAAGAGGAGGGGGTGCATCAGGCCCCATTGGTTTTTTAAGTGGGAACTGGTAGGCGGGAGCGCGGTAGTCTACCATGACGATTACGGAAGCAGGTTGGCTTTTGGTAGATGGAAGCAAATGAAAAGGAAACAACGTGGACGTGGGGGGTTCGGATGAATAAGAGTTGAATACCGAGTGGACGCTGGTGGGGTCTCCGACGGGCGGCTCATGCAAAAAAAAGGTCGAGTCAACTGAACCAGACAGTCCAAGCAAGTCAGTTCAAGTACCGTCCAGTGCCGGTATTGTGATAGTGGAATTTGTGACCTGTTCGACGCGAGACTTTTTCCGCAGTACGAACTCGAAAAGCTGGATGATACGATAACGCTACAGGCCTTGGAAACGACAGCCTGAAAGATCAGCCCATTTTTCCCCCCTCTCTCACCTCACAACTACTCTAACTCGTCCCTCCCTAACTTGTTGTTCATTGTGATATGATATGTTGGGGGAAAAAATGAGATAGAAACGGCAGTAGCAAGGGAGGGAAAAATAAAATGGGGAGACCTTTAATTTGTGGACTAACTTGGCCCTGATTCCACCCGATGCAAAGGGGTGCAAACGGAAAATTGAATGTAGGAGTGAGGGACAAGATTTCTTACCTTCGCCTTTTGTGTCTTGTTTGACTTTTTTATCTGACCTTTTTCGTTTCGCGTGTCCCCTGCTTCCCACTCTAGGATCCACGCAGGTGTCAGTACCGTAGGCGCTGATCTGATAATGGATAACCAAGATTCAAAAATTGGATAATTACCTCCAAGACCGTAGTGGCAGTAGGATTTGAATCCAGTCCTCTCCTCTCCTCGATTGGGGGGACGCCTGCTTGCTTGCCTGCAATGCGAGATAGTGCTTTTTCCCGTTGCTGCTGTCTTTGGAGTTGTCAAAACTTCTTGGGTACTTCCGGCGTCGCGGAGAATTGAGAACTCGATGTCAGTCAATCCCGGGAACAGGTTGCTGCCTTCGATCCTCCTCTGTCTTTCGGGGGTGGGGGAACGAGGCGGGGAGACGTGAGGGAAGACAAACAGCAGACACAGAGCGATATAATGCAGTATGTATGGGAAAATAAAGATCGTTTAACTAGGTTAACACGGCCGGCCGCTGGCCCTGCTAGGACCGCGTTCTCGAGTATATACTTGCTCGCGATCTTTCCAACAACTCGGTCAGATATTGAGCTTCGATTGCCGTCCTTGAATAACTTCCTTCCAACGAACGCCGGCGGGGGATAGAAAATAACTTTATTACCGTGCCCTAGCGCTTCAATGTCGTTTAAGTGAGGGACGGTATGATGATAACCGAAGAAATGGATAATACAAGTAAATAACAAAAATTAAGCGAAAGAATTCAACCAATGCTGGTATTGGCACTTTGCCACCAGCCCTAGATCGATTTGAAAGAGTACGAATAAATGCTCGTATCTATCCTCGCGTAGTTGTGTGTTTCTATCTCTCTGTCGAGCTCGTTGTCTCTCTCTCGGTAGAATAATGTAATTGTCTCGGATAGTGGTGAGAATTGGGAGAGTGAAGGCAAGGATTAGGGAGTATGATACTGTAGTAGTATGTTTGTTTTGTTTATACACACGAACCGAGAGTTGGAGGGTTGTTGTCAATAGGCGATCATTCCTAAAGGGAAGAGTGGTTGTGGTATGCAATTGAGGGGAGAGGAGCATGATGATGATGATGAGATGATTATGGCACAGTCCGAGCAGTCAATCGTCCCCCCCTCCTCTCTAGCTTCCTAGTTTCCATTCTCAGGCCTTTCACACGCTCTCAAGTCCCAACCCACTTTCATCAAAGCTGTAAACACTAATCCACCAGTAATATTCATGGCTGATGCAACGAGACGACATTGGGCAGACACAGATACGCAGACGCAGCAAGGGTAGAAGCCGAACAAGGAAGCGCTATTAGAGTGGCGGATCGAGATTTCATTCCTACGATGATAGACCTATGACGGCGGATGGAGGAAAATACCGGTACGGTACCCAGCTACAAAGTTTAGAGCATGTATCGCACCCGAGCATAATCACTGTACCTCCCGCAGTAATCTACGAGTAGCCACAATGGGGTAGGCATCTTTTTACTGAAGTCGTCAATTGAATAAATTCACCCAGATGGTGCGAGGACATTCCGGGAAACGAAACTTTGGTCCTTTGTTTTAAGGTGAAATACTGTACTCGTACTCGAGTATAGGCTTTTTACTAGCTACGCCACTTAACCGTGCCAGGGTTGTGGCCCCGCCACAACCCTCGGTCACTTCGCAACCTTGGGCACTGTCTTGAGAGTGCCCGGCAGCTCAACGCAAGATTCGGCTCAACGCCAGAATTTGACAGGCAGTAAAATATGTAATATTGCTGCCACTGCCGGTGAAGCCCATATTCTGGAGACATGTCTAAGAGTTCCAAGGAAATGGCTAATAAATGAAAGCTAATAGGCATCCATGAATGAAAAAACTTACTGATGATGACGAGATAGCCATTTGCCTTTACATGAAACATTTAACTCAGATTGGAACCTCAGCACCATATCAGATAGTAACTGAGTGGGTAAACAGTATTCTTCACTACAATTACTAGAGTAAATATTCAGATATACTTTCTATAAACTATGAACCTGGTATGGATAAACTGATTTCTTATAAGAAATTCTGAATCTCGTATCAGAAAACAGAAAACCTTGAAGTATAATAGGAAGAAGTCACACAATCCCAATGACATTCTTGATCAGTTTCAGTGCTTTCACCTTCCATTTCAGTAAAGGGAATTTAAAAGGAGAATATCTACAACTACAATGAGATAGGTTTCTGCATTGGTGTAAGAAAAGACCAATGGATAATAACTCTTAAAGCTGACTGCTAATCTGATTTAGCCAGTTCTATGAACTGAGAACTTGTTACCTCTTGTAAGGTAATAAGTAGCAAAAGAAGAGTTCTAATACCAATTGTAATTCTTTCAGGTGCTTTACACCTTAAAGATTAGGTATCATGAATGTGGCTTGGCGAGGAAAAGGTTTTCATGTGAGACATGGTTATAAGTCACAGGTGTGTTATTGTTTCACACATACGACTCATTCAAGTCATATGATTTGTTATGTATGAGATTTGTGATGCTTTTGCACATGTCTCAAATATGAGTCATGGGACGTGTGCCTGACGAGTATGCCTTGTGAGTGCACCTTACGGGTATGCCTTGCATATATGATTTATGTTTCACATATGACCTCATTATCAGGTCATGGATTTCACGCATATGACTCAGTCGAGTCATATGATTTGTTTATTGTGTTATGATTGGTTTATGAGTTTTTGCACATGACCTCGCTATGAGGTTATGGGTTTTGAGCATGTGACCATTTTGGTTACATGACTAGTTTTTATGATTTGGTTTCGCACATGTGACCACTTTGGATCACATGACTATGGGTGGGAAGAACACTGTATAAGTAGGCCGATGCGGCTAAGGAGGATAGGTTCTTCACACTTTGTTCTCAGTACTTTTCCTACTTCTTGCACTCTGTGTCAGAAGTGAGCATAACCAATACTTTACCATATTTCGCTCACGATAAATACTTTATCTACTGTTACTTGTTTTTTATTTTTTGTTTTGGGCGGTCGGTTAGAAGTTAGTTGTTCTCGCTTGGAAGATACTTCAGTATGAGATATCCATGGCCTGGTCCCCGTAATCACTGAGTATAGTTTGGGCGAGGATGGCATCTTTGACAGCTTCCTCTTCCACGGATTCTCCCCCTTCTTCGAGGATCTCGTCCCCTGTTCGGTTCAGCCCCAACCCTGCCTCCTCACTTGAGACAGCTGTGCGGCCTTGTCTCTTGCGCCTGCTAATGAGGCTAGCCGTGGCCTCATCCCCATAACTACACAGTCATATGTTGCACCTAAAGGAAACTTTGGTTTCCTACAGTTTCACCACTGCCACGGGTGTCAGAACGCGGTTAACCCGCAGTTTGATGATTTGGTTTGGCAAACGGTCGCTGGTGCGACCGTTGCCACTATGAAAGAAGTGGAGATTTTGGTGAGAGGTTTCCTGATCGGGAGAGCCTGTTCAGCCACATGTGGCTTGAACAAGGACACTACCACAGGGCTCTTCGTTCGGTTCAACTCAGATCATGGCTCGGAATATTCTCCAGCCCCTGTACCTTCCCCTCCCAAAGATTCTCAGGCTATAGTCCATGAATCCTCCATCCCCTCCGCCAAGGACAACTCGACTGCCCCCACTGTTGAGGCCAGCTCTTGGTCCACTACTCCTCTCCTCGCTAGGGCTGTCCAATGCGAGATGCCCAGCTTCTTCCACCAGCCCACCAATGCCGGTACTGGCTCCTCGACTCCCTCCTTCCTGGCAGGAATGTCTTCAGGCGAAAGGGCTCTTTACGAAACCCTAAAGTTCAGGCTGGACGACCCTGATGACGAGGACTATAACACTCCTGCCTCTGGAACACACTGCCAGACACAGTCGGCATCTCCTGCTAAGCGATCTGCTACTCCTCTCCTTAGTCACCAATTTTTGAGTGCTATCAACATCGATGAGGGACGGAAAAAACAGATTGTTCCCACTCTTCCTGGCCTACCCCTCGACGTTCCCTATGGGTGCTTGGCCATCCCTCTTCCTGTGATGCTCTCGTCAACAATCAAGGCCATACGCCCTTCTCCATCCCCGCTAATGACTGCGGATGTCCTAGCCACCTCTCGGGTGATGGCTAGAGACACCCCTATGGGCCTGGGTGATGGGCGAAACTCAGAAGCGACTTGTTTGGGTGACAACATACATGCCCCTTCACCAGCTATGGGCTCATCACCTTCACCTATTATTGAACGATGGGTGTCACCTCCCGGAGGCCAACTGGAGGGTCCCCCAGAAACCCCCAGTGGCAATTCAACCTTGTTGGAAGTTCAGCTCCCAGAAACCCAACCAGAGGATACCGATGCTGTGGTAGCCCAGGCGGACTCAATCATAGCAGGTGTCTGTGAGATGCTGGATGTTGGTAGGACTCCCTCTCCTGGACCCCGCTCAGGTAGTGTAATCGGGTCTATGTTGGAGG